CCACAGCACTGCAGCACTACCTCCCTTCCTGCACTGCTGGAGACTCTTAGGCTTAACAAGTAGAGAAAACTGTCCCCTTAAGCTTTTTTGCAGAACTTCTGAATAACACCTGGTCCTCTTCATTTTGACAGAAAAGAACCAAAGAAATCTGGGAGTCAGAGGCTCTGCCATCTTTGGGGCAGTTTGGCTTTGTTCCCTGCCTGGTGGATGATATCAGATACCAAGGAAGGGGTGAACTGACAATGGACTAATATTAAAATTTTATTTTCAGACCTTTTTAAAATGATTCTCACATTAAAAATGGCCACAAGAAAAGGGTTTCTGCAAAACTGACCACATCCCCTGCCTGAGCACATTGCTAGGAGGCACCTCCTTTGGGACTCCCAACCTGTTCTACCCACCTCCTCCAGGCCCCATTTAGGTACCTTTCATTGAGAAATCTGGAGGGGGAGAGGGGATGAAAGGATCTAGGATGTTGGTCTTTCTGACTGCAGCTGGTCTCATGGGAGCATTCTTGGCTAGGGATGCCCCCACAGCAATCCGAATTCTGCCAGGCAGCTGTTTCTGTCAGTTGAGCATTTGGTATGATATGGGCTTCATTGTTGCCAGTAGTTCCCTTGGCAGCAGGCTGCTTTGGGCTTTCTAACTGCAAAAGACTGTGGACAATGGTTAACCCAGGATCTAGAAGTTGCCCTCCTGGGTTCTGTCAACCCCTTCTAGCTTGGACTTGTCAGAGCCTCCCTGCCAACCTTTGTGGACTAGGCTCGGTCACTGGGTATTCCCAGTATTAAAGGTATATTCCATGCCCTTAATTGCAAACTTAATTGCCCAATTAAGCAAATTGAGTAAGCAAACTCCATTCCACAGGAGTTTCAAGGGCAGGTAAAGCCAATCTGCACCAAAACCTCCTTGCAGTACACCGCAGCTGCACCAATAATAAGAGCTGATGTTTTCTAGCTCTTACTGCCAGGAACAGTGCTGTAATTAAATGCATTCTCTACGTCGCACAGCGCCTGGCATGCAGGGAATCTGATAGTTTCTATTCCTGTTTTTCCTCTGGATTCAGACAAGCTAGTGTTGCAACCTTGGAGTTGGTGCAAGTACCTGTATGGGAAATGTTCAGTCTCTCCTAGTGATACACATGCCGTTCCTACATTTGTGGTCACAGCTAGTGTTTGCACAGTCTCATGGGAAGAACAAACATTGTGGTTATGCACCCTTGGGTGAATTCGAGTGTGTTTACACCTTACTAGTTTAAGCAAAACCACCCAATTGTAGGTGTTTTGCATGACCTTGGCATTACTTTGGAGAGGAGAAGACCCACTGGAGTTGGTGGCTGGGAAGGGAGTGGGCTGGCATTGTACACCGCAATAGTGCTTGTGAGAGGTGGTCCAGTCTTCCTCTCCCCTCCCCAAGACCTCCCCATCTGCTTTGTAGTTTGTAGAGAACAGGCTTCAGAATAAATTAGCTTTGGGACTTCTTGTCTAAATATGGTTTTTGAATTAAAATGAGCTATAAATAAGAAATTAGAAGGCTCTACTAAATATTTTGCTTTTCTCTTTGGAATAAAATAGCAGGGATTAGGTTCTAAAGTTAGCATTGGGGGGGGTGGAATGGGAACAGGTGAAATTAGTCTTAGAAATTCTCTATCACCCAGTGAGCATGACGCATGTGGTATACAATGGGATTGTGTAATTCACCTGAGTGGTGAGTGTGAAGTGTAAATTGACTGATGAGCAGTGTGCAGAAACTGAGACTTGGGGGAACAGTAAATCCCATTTTCCAGTTAATTTGGGCAGACTCACCTGCGCTATTCAAATTATTCCCTCTCTCCCTGCCTTCCCAGCAGAAAATCAGATAGCTGCTAAGAAGTTAATACAGTTCTTAAAAAAACAAATTAAAAATCAATTAGTTGCCAAACAATAAAATGAAAAGCAAGGTTGTATTTCCCCCTATCCTTTTTGAGGTTAGATGTCCCATTTGTGTAATGATGTGGGTGGGTAGGGATGGAGCCAGGTCTGTTCCACCCAGCCTCTCCTCTGCTTGGACTGAGCTCTTACGTCACTGGCCTTCCTCTCCAACCCTCGTTGGTGTGCAGCTGAGCATGGTTTTGCCTCAGTATGCAGGCCTGTAGAGAACAATTCACCTTTCACCTTAGCTTTATCTCTCTGGCAGAGATGTAATTTGGCTGCCCTAGCACCCAAGCTGAGGCCTCTTGAGTGAACTTTTCCATTCCCGATAGTCTGCTTTTAGGCCCTCTCGACCAGCTTCCGGTGTGTGCTCTGCAGAGACTCTTTATTGCACAAGGTCGTAACAGGAAACTGCTGGCACACCCAAAAAAACAAGCAAGAGGGCTTATTTATAAGGGTTAGATACATAGGGGCAAGCCTTCTTCCTTCCTCTCCCTGCTCTCCCCGCAGAAATCTTTTCTTATACTGACTCTACATTGAAGTATTTTTTTTATTTTTTTATTTCATTTTTTTTTAATAGAGGCATGGTATTTATTTATTTATTTGTTTGTTTGTTTTGTTTATACATGCACTGGGTACAGTCAGAAGCGCGGGAGGGTGAGAGAATTCACCAGAGCCAGAGCGGGGAGCAGAGCAGGCAGGAGGACCGAAGTACACTGCTGAGGGGAGCAGCGGGCGGCAGGAGAGGTCTGTGCGCCATGTGGGACCCTCCTCTGGTGGGCGGGGAGCAGCTGGGGATTGAACCGGCGCCGCAGAGGCTGCGGACAGCTTCGCAACCCAGCGCTCAACCGCTGCGCCACCGGGGAGGCCCTGAAGTATTTTTTGATACTTGAGTTAATCATAAAAATAAATTGTACCTATTATCTTTTTAGACTACCAGAAAACTTAAAACATCATACATATGAGTTTACATTATCTTCATGTACTGCTCTAAAGCAATGCTTTCTAAATATTTAATGTACAAATGAAGATTCTGATTCAGGGTCTGAGATGCCACCTAAGATCCTGCTTTTCTACCAAGCTCCCAGGTGATGTCCATACTGCAGATCCAATGACCCCACGGCTAGTAGTACAGCCGGGCATGGTGCTGTCAGACCTACGTGGGAGCTCTCCAGCTGTTAGGAGGTTTTTTCTCAAAGGCAATCAAGAAGGCAGCACAACTCTGAACTTAAGCCGGTACCAATGCCCTAATTAGGAAATGGAGATGTATTTTCCCCTGTGGGTGCCAGTCACTTGAAAAGCAACTATTGGTTTGCTGACGGAGAAGATAGGCTCTATGTGTATTCTGATTCATTAATCAACCTTGGGCACAGAGATTTGTCTCTTACATCTGTGTCCAAACCACTGGGTACTTTCTTACCCAAATCAAGAGCCACATGCTTGAGAAATGTCTTCCTGAAATGTGAGAAAGTAATTTGGTGGGTAGGAAAGTTCTTTCCTTATCCAGGTGTCTTTGTAGTCATAAAGGTTACAAAGCAACACTTAAAAGGGGGGCAGTGAACAATCTAATCTAGAGGTGGTAATACCTGAGCCACGCAGCCCTTAATGACTTTCTACTTCTTTCAATTGGTTCTAGCCTGTTTTTCAACACTTAGCTAGTGTTGTCAAATGCCTTCTGCAGGTTTCTCACTTTTTTAGAGGGGACCATTCCAACTCTCCATTAGATCCCCTCCCCCATTATATCACTCCTACAAAAACCCACAAAAGTTACTGATGTGATTCTTGTTATATTATCGTTTTTTTTTTTTTTTTTAAGATTTATTTATTTATTTTATACAAGCACTGGATATGGATACGGTCAGAAGCGCGGGAGGGTGAGAGAATTCACCAGAGCCAGAGCGGGGAGCAGAGCAGGCAGAAGGACCGAAGTACACTGCTGAGGGGAGCAGCGGGCGGCAGGAGAGGTCTGTGCGCCATGTGGGACCCTCCTTAAGTGGCCGGGAGCAGCTGGGGATCGAACCAGCGCTGCAGAGGCTGCGGGCAGCTTCACAACCCAGCGCTCAACTGCTGCGCCACCGGGGAGGCCCTATTACCATCTTTTTTAAAACAGGCGGTTTTTGGTTTTAAAAAACTGATGTAGCTCTAAGCAGATTGTGAACCCCTTTTCCAGGGTATTTTCGCGCCAGATACTTGGGATGGGGTGCTGGTGTTGGCTTTCTCTCATTGAGCTTGATAGCTGAGGCTCAGAGGGCTTGCTTACAAGCCCAGTTTCAAGTCTCTTGGTACATTTTTTGTTGAAGCAACTTATAAATGACCCCTCACCTCCATCTGCTTTAACCTGATTCCTGTTTCACAACTCTGGGGGCTGGGAATCTCTATATACTAGATGGAAGTATGTCTTCAACTGTTACCTGGAGAGATTGGAGAGTAACACACACCCCATTCAGGAACACTTCCACTTCCCTCTGCCGCTGGCTGGCAGCCCACTCCAGGTAAAGATGGCCACAGCAGCAGTTCTGTATTTTCTCTGGGTTGGCCTGCCGCTCCTGTAGTGGTCGCTGTTGATATTGCTGGCTGCAGGTGACCCCGTTCCATAATGACCTGTCCTGAAAGGTGTAGCATATCCATCTGAAAGAAACTAGTTTCCAAAAAATGCAGGGGGTACAATTCAGTCTTCCTTTCAGCTGGACAAGTCACTTCTACCCTTTAACATTTCTTTCTTGTCCTGAAAAAAAAAAAGCCCGGGCGGGCTCCATATGGGCAATCTAGAGGCCCCATCCCTCCCTGCCTATGGGGATGTTGCCAGGTACCAAGACTGCAGGACAATTGCCTCGTATCTGAGGAAAGTATGTCACTGGCCACCAACCAGCTCCTCAGCTTACTAAAAATGAACTGTTATCATTACTAGCACCATGATTTATCATTTTGAAAAAGCATTAACAGGAATTTTTCTTACCTGGCAAAAATTCTTAAAAGAATTATCCTGTAATTATATAAAGTAGCCCATCTGTACACAATTTCATCTCATTCTTGCTTTCTCAATGTATCAGTGGAAATGAATAACCAGAGCTTGAAAAAGACATACATGTTAATAGAGTACTGTTAAAAGATTTATTGCAATAATACAATAAAAGTTTAGAAAACATTTGAATGACTCAAATTAGTTTGGAAGTCGCAGAGCAATGGAAATTCCTGCAACATGACACTGTGAGGAGATTCTAGGACACTAGTTCTTTAACAGCATGCCCCAAACGCACTTTCCTAGTGATGGACACCCGAATCCTTGAATGACTCCTGTGCGCTCCACCCAATGTTGACATTGTTTACTCCTTAACTTACAGATGTGCAAAACTTATATTCCATTACAAAAAAAAGTCTTTAGAAGACCATTTTAAGCAGCCTATTTGGTGCCTATGAGTTGTTTTAGTATTATCTTATTTCAATAGATTATTTTAATATGGAAAACATGACCCAATTCTATGGCTTTTTGTTTAAAAAAATACCAGTTTCAATTTAAAAAGCTGTTTATATATAGTTCTGGCACCTACATGAAAGATTTAATGAGCAGCAAAGAGTAGAAAAAACAGTGGTTGAAATGTATATTTTAAGAATGTTTACATGGTGGATCCAGTGCAAAATAATGAAAACCAAAACATCTCAGCAGTGTAAGCCAGTATGTTGGTGTTCAAAATCACTAAAGGGTTTGACCATTTACCCTAAGTAAAGTGCCTCTAGCTGATATCATTAACAACAAAATACACCCTATTATATCCTAAATTTCCCCTATCTTTGTAAATTGTGTTGAGTTACTCTAGATAGGAGTTTGTGATCTCTGGATTCTAATTCCTTAACTCCATCTCACATTCATGGTCTCCTAAGTGGCTTGCTTGGAAAAAACTATGACTTCTATGCCTCTTTATGCTGAAGTCAATCTCTACCCCTAAGCGCCAGATCCCAGACTTCCAACTCTTGAGACTAAGCTCTTCTTTCTGAGGGTTTGAAGTGCCTGGACAACTCTTACCTCATGGGATTTTAAGTTCAAGTCCACTACACCCACTCTCTGTGAATACAGACTTGAGAGGTACAACACCAGCCCAGACATCAGGAAGCTGAGCACTTAGAACAGATACCAGTTGTATAAAATCCCATGTGGAGAAACAATGTTTCCTCCCTTTGTGGAAAATTCATAGCCTAGGAACTTGGGACTCCTAGATAGGAATACACACCCCCTGCAGCTCTACCCAAAAGTCTACCAAACACTACTTATATCAATAGCAAAAGCTATATAGCACCTCGGATTTGGAGGCAAATTATCAACTATAGTAATTACAGTGAGAAAAGAAGCTAAGGAACAAACCTCCAAATGATTTATCTGAGGTACTATCATGCTAATCACACTAACAAGATATGGTGGTAATGCCTGTTAGGAACTTTTCATAGGATTTCTTTTTGTAATTGTTAACATAGGGTTTTTTTTCTTTTTTTGCAGGTATTAAAAATAAAAATCTACTTACATATTTGTACATAATGCCTCTCTACAGTTTTCTTGTAAGATTGTCACCAAGAGAATGACACACATTAGCTGAAAATGAGCTGGGTGAGGGAAAATTCTGTCTGCGCTTTCCCTTAGGATAGAGAAGAGTAATATCAGCTATAATGATTGCTCTGCATTTCTGAGCCAAAGTAGTGTCCTTAGAGCAATGGAGACCTCCAGGAAAGAAACAAGCAGGATGCTTTCCCTGGAGGAAAAAAAAAAGCAACAAACCTTTACTACTAAATACCTTAGAGAAAACTGGACACAGGAAGGATGACCAGAGGCTCCTCAATGACGTAACCTTTAACCTGTGCCCCAGGAGGCATTTAGCTTACAAAGGAACAACCTCCATAACTTAATTTTCACTCACACACAAAATAAGTTCAATTTCAAAATGTACATAGTACAGAAGGTAAGAATTCAATAATGTAGATAAGAATGAACTAAATTATCCTCAGAATACAAGAAAATGGTTTAAAAAATCTCTAGGACATTATTGCAGCGAGGATTTCTTCTGTTCATGGATATGGTCCTAAAGAAAACAAGATCTTAGTTTCTTTGGTGTGTGGGTAGAAAGAAAAACAGGAATGTCCAACATGCTACAACAGAGCAGCACAAATGAATAGTTTCTAATCTAACCCTTCCCCCCAAAAGACCACCCCTTGCAAACAAAACCAAAATCCTTTACCTAAAAGTCAAATATGACCAAATTATAGAGAAATTGGTATTTCATACTGCCCTCTGACTCTCTGTACAAAAAACAGATGGCATAAAAACAAACTCAAATTTTTTATCTTTCAAGTCCTAATCATCAAGAATCACTTCCCTGTGATTCAACCTCTAAAACCAACATGTTCAGGAACAGCATCACAGGACCAACAAGTAAGCCCGTATCTGCGGGGCCTGTGGCCTGTGAGCAGAGGGAACTCAAAGGAATTTCTGCCTCAACAGAGGTGTCCACGTGCACAAGTCCTTATTCCACCAACAGGTTTGGGGAGAAGAACCACTGATCCCTCTGTTACATCATCGTAAGGATGTTGGCCATCACCCTTGGCCATCTGACAGAAATGCTCGTCTCCCTACTGAAAAAACAAAAGTTTACACTCTCTTTGTTCCAGGCACTATTTAAACTAAACACTTAAATTTTACTGGAGCAAGTAGAACTTTCTCGATACAAACGTGGCATGTTTGGGTCCATGCTCCTCTAGCGGTGTCCGGTGTAAGCTTTGAACCAGGAGGTCACTGAGGCTGCGGCGGAGGAGATCATCCCACCGGCACTGCTGCTGGCGATGGGCGGGGACGCCTGGGTGCTCTGGCTCTGGGACACTTCCACGGGCTGGGAGGGGATATCACAAAAGCGGGGGCTCGGCAGGTTCTCCCAGTCCATGCCCAGGTCAGTTTCCTCATCACTTATGTGCTCGTCTCCGCTCTCATCTGATTCTCCAGCGACACCAGTATCCACAAATTCCATGGACTCCTCAAGGTCTGCACGCACTTCAAAGGGTCCTGACCTGTGTGCAGACAGTGATGGGCCTCTGTAAGACAACTGCCGTTCTCCCAACACGCGACAGGACATGAGGAGACCCAAACCACCCCCGCGCCCATTGCTGTCCTACCCTGCACCACTATTGCTCCTTAATTGAGTTTTCTTTACCTAAATAGTAACTGCCACCTGAGTCATGACCAAAACTATGATGCCACGGGTTCCCTCAATTCTCTCTCCTCTAGTTGTGAAGACCCTGGATGGAAAAGAAAACTCATGCATGGAGACTACCCACGCTGGCTCCAAGGATCATTTCCTTTTTTTTTTTTTTTAAAGATTTATTTATTTATTTCATTTTATTTATTTATACATGCACTGGGTACAGTCAGAAGCGCGGGAGGGTGAGAGAATTCACCAGAGCCAGAGCGGGGAGCAGAGCAGGCAGAAGGACCGAAGTACACTGCTGAGGGGAGCAGCGGGCGGCAGGAGAGGTCTGCGCGCCATGTGGGACCCTCCTCCAGTGGCCTGGGAGCAGCCTGGGATCGAACCGGCGCTGCAGAGGCTGCGGGCAGCTTCGCAACCCAGCGCTCAACCGCTGCGCCACCGGGGAGGCCCAGGATCATTTCCTTTTTTAACCACTGCAATCGCTATGCGTTTCACTGAAGCAACTGTGACAGAATCAGTCACTGCATGATGCTGTGGCATGTTAGTGGAACAAGTAGTAAATGGTATCCAGAGAAAACTATAAAGATGCTCTCTGCCTTATGGAAGCGCCTCATTATTCGATTCAAGAGAGCTAAGTGAAATGGTTGTATGCAGGTTAGCAAAGCTTCCTTGGGTGGGTGTCAGCAGTACTTCCTGCCCACATTTTAAGATGTCACCACAAAATATTCTAGGGTCACAAAGCATAGAATGACCTACAACTATTTAGAATCTACTCATCTGCAATAGAACATATTTCTGCACTGCATTTCAGGAGAAAATGACTTTTACCTTCCAAAGCTTCAAGCTTCCTAATATCCTCACCTCCAAATCCAGTGACTTTTCTCTGGCCTGACTCCCCCCACCTCGGGCCCTTCCCTCCCTGCCACCCATGATGGCGCCTCAGCAGCACTGTAGAGCTGGCAGCAAAGCCCATATAGGCCGCCTTCACCCTTGCACCCTTTCATGGGCACAGCAGCACCTGCCTCAGGGGACCCAGGCTAGTCCCCACCCACTGTCCCTCCAAGGGCTCTCCCTGCAGCAAGCTATCAGGTAGGACCAAGTGGCTCCAGCAGCTACTATCTGTCTGCTGCTGCCCCAAGATAACGACAAGATGCTTTGGTTCAAATTCCCTGAAATGGCAGGGGTTGACAAAAACAGAAAAGAGAAACAGCCTAGAAGTGCACAGCCTGTCATTTACATCTCTGGGCTAAAACGCTTTGATGGTAGCCGCCTCAAAGCACCTCCCCCAGACTTGCCCCACCCAAATCCTGCAGCGCCATTCTTCCCAGACAACCCCACTTCCCAGCTGGAACACACCAACCATCACCGTTAGCATCTTTGTCCCAGGCACTGCTTTTAGGGCTTCACAGAATTTGTTAAATTGGAAGTGCGCTGCAGGGGTGCCTCCTTGGTGCTCAGGGAGCAACTTACATTCCAAAAAACCCCCCAGACTAGGGACTTCTACATTTACCAGCCCCATCCTGCCCAGAAATCCTGATTTTGAGAAGTGTGAAGGGAGCAGAATGGAGAGAGGTCATCCCCACAAACCAGCCAACCAGTAACCCAGCAACTCAAAGCTTAGCTCTGTGCATCCCCTTTCTGTCTCCTTTAAGGTTCTTCCTACAGTCATTTCTCTTGTCCCTTTTCCTTGGCAAACAGGTGTGTAGTCCAAAGCTATCTTCCCCATTCTTCTCCATCTAGCTCCATCTCAAACCCCATTCCGCCTGCTGGTGCTCCCTTTGAGGGACTCATCTCAGGTATCTGAGCTGCTGGGACTCCTACCTGATCACCAAACAAGCCCCCTTTCCCCCAAATAGTGTCCCCCAGCTCGGGTCCTCACTGTTCCACTGCCACCTCCTAGCCAGTGTCCTGTTAGCATCTGCCTTACGCCCAGCCTGAGCTTGCCAGAGCTGCCTCAGAGCTTTTGCCTACTAAAATTGTTCACAAACAACATCAGAGCCCAAACCCGCCTTTCCAAATACAGGGCTCTCTGCTTCTGTTCTGCTTGGCTTTGTTGTCCAAGGGGCCTCAGCAGTTACCACAGGTTAAGTCTCCCTACTCCCCCAGGCTCCTGGCAGGCCCAGGTCAGCTCTCTGCCATTGCTGCTGCTTTCCTCCTTTGAGCTTGGAAGCTCGGCCTACTTTCTGTCCCTCTTTGATGTGGCCTTATCTATCTTGGGGCCTTCTTGGCATGAGACAGCTTTCGTCCTCAGACCCCTTCTTGAAAGGCTATTCCAGGAGATAAGCAGGAGTAATATGGGGAGAAAATGTCACTTCCACCAGGCGGAGAGCTCCCCGTGGAAGCAGCTGGACCCCAGTTCTCTGCATGGAGTCCTGCAGGGCAAAATCCACTTGGCAGGGAGCAGAATGCTCAGTTAAGAATTTCAAATGAAAAACAAATGGTGGATGACTCCCAAAGTGGCCAGTGGGAATAATTTTGGTGCCAATGAGTAAACCTCTGTTTCTGAGAACTGAGGGAAGCCGCTGGGATGTTTTTCTATTCTATGCTTCTCCCATCACTTACAACTTAGTGTATTATCTGCCTGGCACTCCCTGAGCTACAGACACATCACACAGAATTAACTAGCAAAAGGATTAACTCTTTTTCACTTAATGTCTTTGAGGAGTAAAAATTACAAAAAATCATTTTTGATAGAAAGTACAAAATGTATAGCAAACCCTAATGTACATGATTATCGCTGCACGATTAGCTGTGTTCATGTAGGTGTGATCACAGTAAAGGCTGAATTGAGTAGAATCATCCAGACACTAATCCAGGGGGAAACTGGTGAGAAAGATAACCACATGGTCTGACAGTGTCTCCCCAAAGACTGCTTATTTAGTTACTGCAGTTTAATATAGGAATTACACCATGGAGATTTTGGGAAGATCTTGATTAACATCACCAGTGAGGGACAGATGGCCACAGTGTACCTGCAGGTGTGATATCCAGGGGACACTCCCACTCAGGCAGTGTTTCAGCCTAGAATGTATGACCTGAATCTCATTGCAAGGAAACAAAAGTTCTAATAAAAATACGTGAATGTTGTACAAGACAAAATAGGCTGTGAAAATGTTCCCAATTTAAAGGAGGTTAAAGAGACATCACTAAATGCAACACCAGACTCTAGACTGGATCCTGTACTGAAAGGGAAACAAATGATATAAAGGACACTATCTGGTCCACTGACAACATAAGCATATGGGCAGATTAAATAAAAATATTGCATTACTGCTTACCTGGCTGATGCTGGTAAGTGTACTATAGTTAAATAAGTATCCTTATTTTTAGGAAATACACATTGACGTATTTAAGGTCAAGAGTCATGATGCATTTTATTTTCATAGGATTCAGGAAAAAAATGTGTGTATGTATTTATGGAGACAGATCACATAAGTGATATAAGTGATACAATGAATGGGGTAAAATATTAACAATAGGTGAATCTGGGTAAAGGATATATGTGTCTGTTGTACTATTTTAATAGTAATTTAATGTAATTTTTCTAAAAGTCTGAATTGAAAAGAAAAAGTTTATGCTGGGTTCAAGATGGTGTCCCCAGTTGAGCTGTTCTCAATGGAAACAGGAAGTCTCAGCCAGGCTGTCAGTAGTCACTGTAAGCCCTGCTTCTGACTGAGGCAGAGGAGCCCTCTGATGCCTACCTCCTAACCTTCCGGCTCCCGGCCACGAACGTGGACGTGATCATAGCCTGCAGAGAGGTGTGTGTACTTCTGCAGGGCAGAGCCACCTAAATGGACAGCTGACTAAAGGGCAAATCCATAGACATCTTCAAGCCCTCTAAAGAAATCCACCTCTAGGAGAAGACTGCCTGTTTTCCTAAACCACCAACTCTGGATATCAGCAACCTTTTAAGAAAACCTGTTTGGAATTACATCTCTTTATTCTTGATTGGGGCTAAAAATTTCACTCATTTAAAAATTTCATTCATTTCTTCTCTCTGAACTGCCTGCTTGAATCCTTTGTCTATTTTCCACTAGGTTGTCATCTTTAATGTGTTGATTCAAAAAAGGTGAACTAGGTATCAATTTGTTGTCTGTTATACAGGTTGCAAAACAGATCTGTTGCTTGTCTTTTAATTTTGTTTATGTTATCTTCTACCAGAGACATTGTGAGCTTGTACACAGTAAAATGTGTAACTCCTTTATGGTTTTTTGGGCTTTGTGGCTTGCTCATAATTCCCTCCTTACCCTATGGTTATAAAACACTGTCTTTTCTCATAATAATTTTATAGTTTAAAAAATAGTCTATAGATCATCTAGAACATATTTTTGTATATGGAATGTGGTATGAATCCAACTTTTCCCCTACATGAATACCTAACTGGCCCACCACCGCTGAGCTGCTATGATCTGATGCCACCCCATCACGGATCAGTCCATGCACATCGGGTCTGTTTCTGGACTCTTTATTCTTTTCCTTTAATTGCTCCACCTATCTGCATGCTGACAGTACCCAGTTTTAATGACCTTTATACTATGTTTTAAAAGGGGCCAAGTCCATTCATAATAATTCTTTTTCAAAATTTCTTTGCAGACTGTGCCTTTAGTTAAACTTTGGCATCAGCTTGTTAAAGTTCCACAAAGTATTTGTTGAAATTCTGATCAGCAAAGGGACTTCCCTGCCTCAGGCCTTCTTCCATTCAGTCCCACACAAGTCACACAGTGCCTGGCAGACACTCAAATACATGGCGATGTAATGTACAGTTTCTGTTGGAAGGGACCCTTTCTGCTACACCCTCTACTTGGTTGCTAACAGGTAAGAAAGCAACTGCTTTCTGAATACTGATCTCGTATCTAGTTACCATTCTGAACTATCATTTCTATTACTTTCTCAGTTTTCTTGGCTAGCTAGTTCAATAATCATACCATCTATAATAATGTCAACTGAGTTTGTTTCTTTCAGTATGACTACACCGTACTTCTCTGTGAAAATGTTCTGTCTCGATTAGGCCTCCAAAGCAACATTCACATAGCAGTGACAGCAGGCTGGTTTATTCCCCACTAGGGGTGATTGCTTCCACTAAAAAGCTATGTGAAGTGCTGTTTTCGTTGTAGGTTTACGGTAGTCTTTATAAATAACCTATTTTTAATTTGCTAATAGCTTTTTTTAATTATTAATAGAAACTGAACTTTATTCAATTATTTTCTGGCATTCATCAAGTTGATCTTATGTTTTTTTTCTTCTTTAATCTGTTAATGTGATGAAGTAATAATGTTCACTGGTTAGGAGCACGAGTACCTACTGTTTTGGAGTCACAGCCAGTCGTGTGTTGGGACCCTCACTCCACTGTTTTTACTGGGTCTGTGGCCGTGGGCATAAGTTACTTAGCTTAAGCTAAGCCTCAGCTATCCCCCTCTCTAGAGTGAGAGTAAGAATCCTACATAACTTAAGGCATGTATAATGTCTCAGTACAATCATAAAAACAGTATCACTAAATATTAGCTTTTCTCAAAGATATATGTCCTAATGTTGAGCCATTCACAAATTTTGAGCCATTCACAAATGAGGTACAGAGAGCAGCCCTAAAAATCAACACCTTTGAAACTGGGGTGGATTTCTAACTTTGAGTTTTCTGTGTCATGTCAATTAACAGATGGGATATGAACTCGCTCCCTATAAAACGGCACAAAATGCTGGGTATAGCACAAAATGCTACTTTTCTGCAGAAAAGTACGGACAGACTGCTAAGGGAAAAAGCTAAGCACCCAGAGGAGGGGTGCACGGATGATACTAACGTTAAGTCCCATCTAGGTCACATGTCAATGGGCTCAGTGACTAAGAAGGATGCCACAAACCCATCTGGTTAGTCTCTTTTGTTACTGACTCTGATTTTTAAGTTAGTATATCTCAATCCAGTTCACATCATCAATTTCTAACACCCACTATCTCCAGCAAACTGTGGCAAGGCTGACTCATTCAGTGGCAAAAGAAAACTGTGAAGGACTGTTGGTGGGAGGGAAAGAACAGGCACCACAGAACAATGCACCAGGCACAGGAGATACCGACAGGGCTAGAGAAGCAACAGCCACGATTCAAAGAAACAGCTTTGGTCTTCCCCCGGGACAGCTGTATTCTTCTATTCTGTTTTAGATGTAAGGAATATGTGATGTGAATTTTCTCTGAGAACTGATTATGTAAGGACCATAAAGTTCAAATATGATTATCTACTGCTTCCTGCTCTACAGGGTTGCATTATTTTTGTCGTTGTGGGGAGAGTTTGGAGCTGGCATCAGATTCCTGCAATCTGCCAACATTTGAAAGGCCAGTTAAAGTATCACACTACCACCAGTCACTGAAGAGGAACAAAGTCCTTCTTACCTGCCCAGGTGCTCCGAGCTCGGGCTGACTAGGTACAGGAGATTCCTGAGGGTATGCAGTGGTTGTAACTGATCTAGATTTACATGCTAGGAAAAGCAAAGAATTGATTAATATCTTCAACCAAGCAACAAAACAAAAATGAATTCACAGTCTGTTTTCCATACCTGAGAAAAGCAAAGATAGAGAATATTTGTGTTCAGTTTCTTCACTGCTCGAGTAAATTTCTGTCGGCTGAGATTTTCCCCACAAAATTCACTGCAACAGAAACACACAATTTGTAGTGTGGTGCTATTCTGAGGAAATTCTATGTTGAAATGTTCATTCCCAAGAGTGTGCTTCACACTGCAGTTCCATATAAAACATACCTGTGTCCTTTAACTCAAAATTGTTCCCAGATACTAAGAATGCACTACTGCCCTCATGGACAGCAACTTTACTACATTTATAAAAATTACAAATGCATGTATTTTTTGGACCAACAATTGCCACTTCTGAAAATTTATTCTACACAAATACTTGCACACCAGTGAAATGAGTGTAAGTTTATTCATTGAAGCAACAACAGGAGACAAGAAAGATCTTGGAACATTTATACAAAGGCAATCTCCAACTGTCCACCTTAGGCAGAATGCCAGCACACAAAGCCCCCTACCCCTATACCCCTATCTTCCCTGTGGCCCTCACTCCCCAGGGCAGGGGCTCACCATTCTTTCTGCTGCAGCCTCCTTTCCTAGAGACCCCCCTGGCTTGCTCCCTTCCTCCCTTAGATGCCCTGGGGGTCACATTCCTGCTGTTCAAACACAGCAAGCCCTTCCCTGCCCTATACCTCTCCTCACCTGCTTCAACATTCTCCACAGCACAGTGTTCACCATTTGCTGCACTGTTTACATGTTGATGATCTACCCCTCCATTAAAATGTAGTGCCAAGGTGGCAGAAATTACGCTTTTTTCACCACTATACCCGCAGCCCCCATTCCTAGAACAGTAATTGTTAAATAAAAACTTTAAAAGCAAAAGAATGAAACAAGACTACTACCTCATAACATACACAAAAGCCAACTCATAATGGATAAAAGACCTGAATCTAAGATTTGAAACAATAAAATATATAGAACATAACACTCAATGACATATGTCTCAGAAACATCTTTGAAGTCTCATCCCCTAAAGCAAAGAAAATGAAGGAGAAGATAAACAGTTGGGACTACATCAAACTAAAACGCTTCCATACAGCAAAGAGACAGTAACCAAAATGAAGAGACACCCTACAGATTGGGAGAAAATATTTGCACTCCATATGACTGATAAGGGACTTACATCAAAGCTCTACAAAGAGCTTACACAACACAACTAAAACAAAATAAACCACCCAGTCAAAAGATGGGCAGAAGAGCTAAAAAAAAGGACACTTCTCCAAAGAGGAAATGCAAATGGCCAACAGGCATAAGAAAAACAAAAAACAAAAAACGCTCAACATCACTTTGTAATCAAGGAAATACAAATCAAAAAATCAAAATCACTATGAGATTCCACCTTACATCAGTTAAGAATGGCCCACATTTAAAAAACTGACAACAAATGCTGTTGAGGATGTAGAGGAAGATGCTTACGCTGCAAGTGGGAATGCTAAACTGGTCCATCCACTAAGGAAGGCTGTGTGGAGGACCCTCAAACTATTAAAAATGGATCTACCAGCAATTCCACTCCTAGAAAATTACCCAAAGGATACAAAAATATTAATTCAGAAGGAAATCTGCACTCCTATGTTCACTGCAGCACTATTTATAATAGCTAAGATATGGAAACAACCTAATTGCCCAAAAACAGATGACTGGATCAAGATGATGTGGTACATATACACAATGGAATACTACTCAGCAATTAAAAAAGATAAACTTATGCCATTCACAGCAATATAGATGGAGCTGGAATGGACTGTGCTCAGTGAAATAAGTCAGAAGGAAAAAGAAAAGTATCGAATGGTTGCACTTATAGGAGAAAATCAGGGAAACCCAAAAAAGAAAAAAAAAAGACAAAACTAGCAGTCAAACTATAAATCGGAGACATACAGTAGGGAATGGGGAGTGAGAGGGATCAAAATGGGAGGTAAAAGCACAGGAGACTATGGTGATGGTTCATAGGTGGGTTTGGTAGTGGGAATTTTATGGGGACTACAACTGAAAGGAGAAATCAAACATTATACAAAAATGAACGACGATGTTAAAAAACAAATATAATTTTAAAAAAAGCAAGATGCAAAACACTTTAATATAGCATACCTTTGGGGTATGCTATTTATATATTATTGACATAAGGGACTTACATCAAAGCTCTACAAAGAGCTTACACAACACAACTAAAACAAAATAAACAACCCAGTCAAAAGATGGGCAGAAGAGCTAAAAAAAAGGACACTTCTCCAAAGAGGAAAAAAAAAAAAACGCTCAACATCACTTTGTAATCAAGTGATGTCAATAATACTATTTATATTTGTTTGAAAGGGAAGGCTAATTGGAGGGGAGTAGGAAAGTCTTGATAGAAACTGGGTAGACTATAAATCTTTGCAATTTTTAAAAAATTTCATAGATAGGGCCTCCCTGGTGGCGCAAGGGGTTAAGCACCACACTATGAAGCAATCCGCAGCCTCTGCAGCACGAGTTCGATCCCCGGCCACCAGGAAGCAACCCACATGGCACAGCAGACCTCTCCTGACTCGCCACTGCTTCCCTCAGCAGTGTATTTCAGTTAGTCTGCCTGTTCTGTTCCCCACTCTTCTGGTGAATCCTCTCACCCCCATCTCTGGCCTATACCCCAGCTCTTGTATGCATAAATGAATAAATCTTTAAAAAAAAATTTTCCTAGCTCATGTATTGTATTAAAAAATATATATCAAATATTCAAGTGCTACAATTTACTCAGTTCATATGCATGAACACAGCCTCTATATACCCTGGGTTTTTTTCCTTCTATTCTCTGTGGTCTTCTAAAAGATTTCATGTGCAGTTGTTAAGATAATGGAACAAAGCTGCATATGAGGCTTTTGAAGTTAATGTTGAAAACAATATTCCATGGTCAGACTTTCTGTCTTGATAATACTTACATCCGTGGTTTTGGTTTAACTAGAAAAAATAAGACCACCATCGGAACGTGAGGTCCAGGCTAAAATGACATCACCCCCTTCCATTACTTGCCTGTTGCACAGCTTTTTAGGAAGATTTATGTCGAGTATATGGGACAAAATGTTGACGAGCTGAGTGGCATAGCACAAGGCAGCACTGATCGTGTAGGCGGGGTTATTGTGCTCCATGTCTAGTGCATAAAAACAACAGACATACACAAAACTTTAATTTCAAGAAAAAGTTATGATCCTTGATTTTATCATTTTAATTTTATTGATAATTATTCATGACTGTTTTTATTCTTTACTAATACAAGGTCCATGGCCAGAAATTGTTTGTTTATAAACATTATGTTTTTTGCTGAATGAAATGTAACCTAATAAGTAAATGAGCCAGGCAGAAATAAAACCAAAGTCTAAATGGTTTGGCCCCAACAATGTATTGTCAGAACAACTAATGCCTGACTTAAACATCACCTCCTCGGAGAGGTGCCCGAATGCCCGTGGCAGCATCCTTCCTCTGTGGCCTGCCCGTGACACTGCCAGTTCCTTTCATAGCACACACTCAGGGTGGCCAAGAGCCTCTACAGTCTCAGTGACATCACCTCTGTATCACCAGTACCCAGCACTGTGTATGACATAAGCACATACTCACTAAGTACCTGCTAAATGACTAAGTGAAAAATCCTTTTCCACAAAGAGAAAATACAGGGGTTTTCTGTTGGTTATTTTGATCCTTATTTAGGACTGCTAAGCAAGCTTTATGCAAAGGTAGATATTAAAAATGGGACCCAACATGGCAAATACACTGCTATACATAAAGCAATATTAACCCCAAAGGGTGAAACAGCTAAGAGATTCAGGTTTTCAATCTATCAAATGATGAATGGACAAGCAAAACATGGTATTATGCACAAATGGAATATTCTTTAATCAGAAGAAGGAATGAAATGCTGATACATGCTGTAAGGGGTATAAATCCTAAAAACCTTATTGTAAATGAAATAAGCCAGACACAAAAGACCATGTTGTCTGATTCCATTTGTATGGAATATCCCAAACAGCAAATCTAGAGATAGAAAACAGATTAATGGTTGCCGAGGGCTGGGAGGAGGGCAGGGATGGAGAGCAATTGCTTCATGCTGTGGAGTTTCCCTTTGGGGAGATGAAAAGGTTTTGGCACTAGAGAGGTAGTGGTTGCACAACGCTGTGAATGTCCTAAATGCCACTAAACTGTCCATTTGGTCATGTAAATTTTACCTCAATTAAAAAGTATATATAAATCATAAAAATTTTCAAAGACAATTTTGCTTCTCACCAGGCCCCTGAGTGGTTTTCTTCTCTTCCACCCAATTGTAGTAGGCAGAGTAGTCCCCATTGTTAGGAAGGCTGATCCAAGTCCCGGTAATGCTGATGCTGGTGTCCCCGTTGTGGTCGTCACAGACCCATCTCCCAGACAGGTAGGTTGTCCTCCGGGCTTCGGCGAGCTTGCTCACAGTGCTGGAGCTCATGGCACTATCACTCTCTGAAGACACGTCTGCGGGATCTCTAAAAATCAGAAGTTGCACATGGTTTAATGAGAACAGTTTTGTAAAGGGCACACAATACACATGACAGGTACCTACATCACTGGAAAGACACACATAGGGCTAGGAATTTAACTGGAACAGAGAGATAACTGCTATCAGAGAAGAAGTTCAAACCAGCTGAAGCACAGAAACTTCTTCCAGTATGAAGAAGGTAAAACCATGAGCTAGTGTCTCAAGTTAGTTGGTTTCAAAACTAAAACCAAATTTGGTTAAAAAAAATTTTTTTTAAGATTTATTTATGCATGCAAGAACTGGGGTACAGGCCAAAGGTGCGGGGGGTGAGAGGTTCACCAGCGACATAGTGGGGAACAGAACAGGCAGACTAACTGAAACACACTGCTGAGGGGAGCAGCGGGCAAGACAAGAGAGGTCTGCTGTGCCATGTGGGTAGTTCCCTGGCTGGCAGGTGATCGAACTTGTGCTGCAGAGGCTATGGATAGCTTCACAATGCTGTGCTTAATGCCTTGTGCCACTAGGGAGACCCTGGTTAAAATTTTTGAGGACTCCAAAGAGCTTTGTTGTTTGTGGGTTAAATCTATTGATACCTACCTCTCCTGTCTCACCTGCTGCTCCCCTCAGCAGTGTTTTCAGTCAATCCACTCCCCTGTCTTGGTGAATCCTCTCACCCCTCCACCCCAGCTTTTGTATGCATAAAGAAAATAAACCTTAAAAAAATTTATTGATACTTAGTGTATTAGAAATTTTTTTTTCTTTTTTAAAGATTTGTTTATTTATTTATACAAGCACTGGGTACAGTCAGAAGTGTGGGAGGGTGAGAGAATTCACCAGAGCCAGAGCGGGGAGCAGAGCAGGCAGAAGGACCAAAGCACACTGCAGAGGGGAGCAGCAGGCGGCAGGAGAGGTCTGTGCACCATGTGGGACCTTCCTCCGGTGGCCGGGGAGCAGCCGGGGATCAAACTGGCACTGCAGAGGCTGCGGGCAGCTTCACAACCCAGCGCTCAACCACTGCACCACCGGGGAGGCCCCGACACTTAGTGTATTAGAAATTAAAACCGAAAAATTTTAATAATTCATTTGAAAATAACAAATTCATTACATGTGTTTAACACATTTTTAGGAAAAAATTTGTAATTTTCAAAACAAAAAAATAGTGAAGTGTTGCACTGTTTACATTCTTGAGACTTTTAGTTGTTCTGTCAAGTAAGGAGAGACCCATGAGCAAAAGCAGTTAGTTTTACTTGTGACACAGTCACTTGAGTGCTTTCCCTCGTGCCAATCATGGTATTCCAATCTTCAGCGAAAGTGCTTTCTGCTTTCCAACTTCCATTTTATCATAAGGTATATTTAAAAGATGCATATTTAAGGGTAAGATTTAATACATTTACATAAAGTTGATAATTTCTTCTGCTTGACCAAGTACATTCTTGGTATGAAACTGGCTTTTTGTTTGCTTGAAGCGCAAATACAGGGTGGACTACATGACTACCATTACAGTTTGATCTCACTGCCTTGAAACATGGTGGTGTCAGCCCACCATGGCTTTTAAGCCAGCAGTACAATGTCACCACAGTGAAAAAAGAAAGTGTATTATTATAAAAATAGATCACTGGACAGGTCCCTCGAGAGAGTCTTGGGGACCCACAAATGTCCATGGACCATACTTTAGGAACTGCTGGCTTAAAGAGTGGGTTGGGAGTCCACCACGAGAAGTCACAAATGCATGGCAGGGGAAGGACACAGTTGTTTGGAGAACAAGGATGTGCAGCGTGGTTGTGTGCTGGATGTCCAGGAGACGGTGCTGGTAAAGCAGGGGGAAGCTGGCAGACTGGGAAGGGTCTTCTGTTCTCTTTGACCAGATAGTCTAAATCCTTTTCCCTTCTATGACAACATACATGTAAGGTAACTCCTGTTAGCTGTTATGTATAAGACAAGAGTATTATGACCAATTCCAAATTGTAATTCTACTTCCTTCTCCCACTCAAGGAAGTTTGAGAAATGTGACCAAAGAAAGAATCTTCTATAGAAACAATTTCAAAACTATCAAATACACTGAGAATATGTAATGATATATACCAACAGAAAAGATTTAAATAGTACAGGTACAAAGGAGAGCTTTTTTCCTCCATGATTTCTGATCTACTATTTCATATATATATGCATATATGAAAGTTTTCTTAAATTTTCATTTTGAAAAAAATATTTCAGCCTTACAGGAAAGGTGTAAGAATATTAAAGTGTACACACTTCACCCAACTTTCCCAAATTCTTCATTCAGGAAAATATAACGATCAAAATCAGGTAATTAATACTGCCATGACACTATTAACTAGTGTATAGACCTTCCTCAATTTTCTCCAATTGTCCTGTTTTAGGCCTTTTAGGTTCTAGGATTCAGTCCTGGATCATACTCTGTTACTTGCTTGTCAGTCTCCTTAGTCCCCTGAAATTTGGAACAGGGTCGAAGTCTCTGTTTACTGTAACATGTTTTGACCTTGAGATTCTGACCCATCAGGATTTAACTTGGCATAATGTTTGTGTTTTGTCAGCATTTTCCTCCCCCAAAGGCCTGTCTAGCTGCCTTTATACCAATTTTTGGGTAACTCAACTTTCCCCCACTTACCCAAAGTGCCATTTTATTGTCTATTTTGAACTTCCTATACTCCTCCATCTTGATTCTGCTCTTTTATTTGCCAACTACTCCCAGTGAGAAATGTCTTGTTAAGAGTCAGAGAGCAGGTTTCAAACCAGAAGCACTGATAAGACTTGTAGGCTTTCAGAAAGCCAAGTCTGGTAACAGACAAAAGCACAGACTGAAATAGAGGTAGCAAAGAATAGTTACACTGCTACCAGTGCTCCACTGACTGTCAAATTCCAGGGAAAGGTGCCAGAAAGTGAGAGCAACCACAAAAGATAGGAAAATCCTCAACAGGAACAGGCTGGTGGTCATGAGAAAGCTAACAAAATTTCAGTGGTAGTTTCCAAACCTGGCTGATGACCGCTAGGTATCATCTGGAAAAGTTTAAATTAAAGTATTAAAGATACGGGCCTCCCCAGTGGCGCAGCGGTTGAGCGCTGGGTTACGAAGCTGCCCGCGGCCTCTGCGGCGCCGGTTCGATCCCCGGCTGCTCCCCGGCCACCGGAGGAGGGTCCCACATGGCGCGCAGACCTCTCCTGCCGCCCGCTGCTCCCCTCAGCAGTGTACTTCGGTCCTTCTGCCTGCTCTGCTCCCCGCTCTGGCTCTGGTGAATTCTCTCACCCTCCCGCGCTTCTGACTGTACCCAGTGCATGTGTAAACAGAACAAACAAACAAACAAAAAAAAATAATAAAGTATTAAAGATAGACTGGGTGGTTGGAGGAATTTTCTCCAAAGCCTGTTATTTTCCAAAGCTACTCAGTGGCTCTACGAAACAGGCGGATGGGGAACCGCTATCTAGTCCACCCACTGACTCCTGGGGGTAACTCTGTATTACAGTCTGACTGAACTCAGTGTCCAGTGCTCAACAGCAGTTCATTTCTAGGAAAAGGCTAAGTCAACACATCGTGCCTACTATGTAAGAAACCCTGAGCACCAAGTGCTTTCCTTCACTTTAGCGCATTTCTCAGTGAAGTAGGCATTTGTTATGCCCAACCAAGAGATAAGGAAATAGCTCAAGGCTCAAAAATGTGCCTCCCAGCATACAACCAGTAAGTGGCCCAGCTGGGAGCACAGCTGACAGCAGCTATGAAAGAATTCTTATCAGGAGTGAGTCAGCACCTCATCGGGAAGCTCTGTGAGAACACACATGCCTGGGTCCCACTTCTCGGAGGGCCACCGCCCTTCATCCTGGCTGCCTCCCCAGCTTCATGCAGTGTGTACTGTTTACCGAAACAGTTAAGACTTATGTTTCATTGCCAGAAAAAATGATGACCCCAGAATGAATCCCCCCAAATGACAGAGGTAGAAAATACTTGTTTCAGGACTTGATCTATTCCCAGAGTTAAAGACTCACTGTACCTCATACCAGTCTTTACTTCCTCAATTGGAAAAATGACAGAGGTGAGCTCTAATATATGAGATCGCCGAAGGTTTGCCAGACGTTCATAATGACTTTTTAAGTCAATGGTTTTTTTTTCTACCATGTCGCCGAGTCTGCGATTGTGCCTCTGAATCTTCTCCTTTTTCTCTTGATGTCGTTGTGCTCGAGTGTAAAGTTTCTGATTCTTTTCCTTGGTTTTGAGAAGGCCTTCAGAATCTAAAATAAATCACAACTAACAATTATCTCTACAAATAGTTCCTGGGTAGTACAGAACTCCAACAAGCATAAGTGTCTTTCTGTAGTCTAAACGGAAAGCAAAACTTCGTTAAAATTAACTAGATAATGTTCACAAAGTGGAAACTGAGAGTTTAGGCCAAGTAGATTTTACTCATAAAGCAAAGGAGACCACCACCACCAAAATGACTCTGGATCTCCATTTGTGATCACCATTCGTAAGAATCACTCAAAGACTACCAAGTTTAAGTTTAGCCCAGGAGGTACCAACTTTCTTAATGCTGAGAATGACATGTTAGGCAGAACAGATGTCTAAATCAAGTTTGAAAAACTTACTGGCTATCTGATTTCTACAGAAACCTCTTATGTGTGCTGTGGGTTACACACTAAGACACCCCATGGAGAGCATCAGAGCAGGTATTCATGAAGCAAAGAAACAGCCTGAAAGCTTGAAAAGCTACAGTGGAGTGCTGCAGCATCTAGCAAGCAAGGGGGCAGCACCTACATGCTAAGAACCTACGGTATATCAGCACTGTAAGCACTGCAAGGGCAAGACAACCAAGAAGAGAGAAAAACATTTTGTCCAACTGATGTCCATTTTATGGAGCTCTGTCAGATTATGGATCCCAAGACCTGCTAGGCATGATAGGGTGTCGCTAAACTTCACCAGAATAGCAAAAACTAGTGGGAAATTTCAGACACCTGGGAACATCTCAGGAGGTTCAAACAAATTCAAAATTAAGCTCATTATTCTTCCAGGAAAAGCCTCCTCTTAATTACATTGTAAGCTAGGTTCTCTACTTGGTTATTTTGACTTGTCTATTGCCTAAATGACTCCCTGGTGGTGAATTCTACAAGCTGTCCTACAGTTCTTAAAATCTAGGGCTTTCTTTTCATTCCACAGTAAATGTTCTCCGCTCCCTGATATCATGCTTTTTCACTAGCTTGCGGTCAACGCTCAGCTGTTTTCTACTGCCCATCAAATACAGACCAAACTCCTCAGCCTCAAGATCACCCCAAACTGGTAAGCACACCACTGTTCCGTTCCCTTATGCACACCCTTCACTCTAGCCTTGCTCAATTACTAGATTTGTCAAATCCTTCCACAAGATGGAACTATTAAATGCATAAATGAATACGTGGATTTACAGCTGAGCCAGTCATCAGTCCCTAAATACTCATCCCTATCCTGTTGTTCAAATCAACATCTCTCTAGAAATGCTTATTTGCTCCTGTATTCCAAATACCCACATTGTACTCATTCGATTCAGCGAAATCTCTCTTCCATTAATCTCCTGGACCCCTAGGCTCTTCAGAGCTCTACAGTAAGGCTGTGCATACAATGATGGCAACTCATTCATCTATGGCACATAGCTGAATTCCTTATGGCAGGTGCAACAGAAGCCTTGCTGTGTCCTGACTAGATATAACAAGCATCTACTAAATGTCTGATAAATGGTCCCCACTTGTTGCAGGCATAAGGTTTCTTAGATTTATTTCTCCTTGGGTGCATCTCTTTACCATTCCTTCTAATTGTGAATGTCCTAAAGGTTAAGTCTCTGGTTTCTTAACACACTTTCCAGAAAGCCCATTCATTTTCATGATCTCCACTGAGCTCTTTACAGGAGTTCAAATGAATCATCTGAGTCATGGCCATGAGTAACATGATGGTCAGATTTTTAAGGACAGTTTCCAATATAACATCATGATCCCTCAGAGGTGGCAGGAAACCATAAGTCACCCAGCTGCACTATTACAAGCTCAGTGCTTGGAGTTTAATTTGTCCTTCTCTCTGTGCCATCTCCCCCTAAATGTCAAAGCACTTTTGTGCTGTTACTGCATGCAAAACTTGGTGCTAATTGTGGTGTGTGCAATTTGAGCCCCTCCTCACCTGCTGCCCTGCTTCTCACTCAGTGATCCTATGAAACACCAGGTGAGTGCTAGAATAGGACACACATTTTCAAAGGCAGCTGTATACCATTTCATAGCTCTATAAAATATTTGCTCTGAAAGCAATGAGTACACTAGAAAGGGATTCACAAGGCATGATGGTGACTAATTCTAAACTTTAAAGACTGATCTTCAGAAATACAGGGAGTGTTTCAAAGGATCCAGGATTTTTAGGAGGAATCTTTTAAATTTTGACAACCACCTATGATAAAGTATAAACTGTAAAATATAATATAAATTAATACAGAAGTATGAGAGTCACTCTGGGAGAAAAAGTCAATATTCTTTTCCTCTGGTATAAGTACCAAGTTACATTCTGAATCTCCTGTTACCTAGTGGGAAACACACATTTCTTAACTCTTTAAATTGAAAAAGGCAGCAAGTTTTTAAAGGTCTTAAAGTGTGTGTGTGTGTGTGTGTGTGTGTGTGTAACTTCCTTACAAAATGTTTTGTACGGAAAGGAAGGCAAATAGTAAACTATTCTAGACTGTCACTGTCTCCCAACCCTCTTCTCTATCTTTCTCTTTTTCTAATTTATTAATCCCAGGATAATTCCACATGAACCCTTTATTAGGGCTGGAGGGAGGCAAATTACTTACTTTTCTTCATTTCTTCATTTCCTTTACATATAGTTTGTTTCAACTGTTCAATCCTCATCTTGCAGGACATTATTTTCCATCTCTTAAAAAAAAGAATGCAATAAATAATGAGAAATAGTGGTCCCTTATATTATGAACACCTAGGATCACCACTTATTTCTAGATATAGCTTAAAAGACATAATGAAGGAAAAATTATATATATATAAAAATTATATCTATCATAGCTTTTGTAACAATGGCAAAATACAAAAAAGAAAAATCTGTTACTTTAGTTCAATGCAGAGGCTGCTAGGAAATTTACAGAGATAAAGTCACATAGTTCTTGTACATGTGTTAATGAACATAAAAAAACTGTTGAAAGAGTATTCTCTTAGCAGGCTATGTCCAATATATGCCTACTGGTCACACTGTGACTATTTAAAAGTCAATTAAAATTATAGTAAAAAGTTCAGTTCCTTCCATTACCAACATTTTGAGTGATCAACAGCACTGTGACTAATGGCTACCATGTTAGTCACTGTAGCTACTGAACATGTGTATCATCACAGAAGTTCTATTGATGGTCTACATTAGTGCTGGTTATGGAGACCATTAACATCCCTGTCTGATCTCACTGATGCAGTAAGCAAATATTGCTTGCAAAACAATAAAAACTGCAATAAAGCATGTTTTTTAAAAAAGTGTATAGATCATGTCAGAGTGCCCAAAAGCCTCAGATAATTATATCAAACATAAAATTACATGTTTACATTAAGAGGATTCAGGTGTAGCTTCCTCCAAAGTGAAAAAAGGATTGTAAAAAGACAACCTAGTAGTTATTGAAAAGGATGATTATCTGACCTATAACACCTCCATAAATGTAGATAATTAAAAGCTTAAAACAATGTTCAATGTTTATAGAGTTTTACAGTAGTGCCTGAGGAGTATGATGGTACAAGATACACAACAGATGACAGAGATATTCCAGTGGGTGAAACTCTAGCCTTTCCAAAAGATGCTAGAAAGACATTTGAAATCCAGTCCTAGTCATGGATTCAGGAGTGAATGGCAATGAGATGTCTTCACTGTTAAAAGGTATTAGTTTTTAAGATTCAGTATTGACAATTTGATAGGAAATCAGTACAGTGAATTTAGAAAGATGAGGATGGAATTCCTTATCATCATCTATGATTTTTTTCCATACAATGTATTTTTTACTATAATATTCAGAGTGTAAGCAAAATTCACTGTATTATAAATAGTCTGTACTATTTTAAAATTATGAATAATGCTTATTATTGTGAAAAACAAATATCACAGATGAGAGTAAAGAGACTGCTAGTGTGACTCCATTCTTTGGGGGTAATCTCAAAGTTTGATGTATTTTTTTTTCCAGATATTTTTATTTTATTTTATTTTTTAAAAAATCTATTTATTTATACAAGAGCTGAGGTATAGGCCAGAGGTGCGAGGGGTGAGAGGATTCACCAGAGACAGAGTGGGGAGCAGAACAGGCAGATGAACCGAAGCACACTGCGGAGGGGAGCAGTGGGAGCATCAGGAGAGGTCTGCTGTGCCATGTGGGTTGCTCCCTGGCTGGCTGGGGATCGAATTCATGTGGCAGAGGCTTCTGATTGCTTCATAGTGCAGTGCTTAATCCCTTGCGCCACCAGCAAGGCCCTTTTTCAGATATTTTTAAATACTAACTTGATATTTAAAACACAAGCTCAGGGCCTCCCTGGTGGCGCAGCAGTTGGGCGCTGGGTTGCGAAGCTGCCCACGGCCTCTGCGGCCTCTGCGGCGCCAGTTCAATCCCCGGCTGCTCCCCGGCCACTGGAGGAGGGTCCCGCATGGCGAGCAGACCTCTCCTGCCGCCCGCTGCTCCCCTCAGCAGTGTGCTTCGGTCCTTCTGCCTGCTCTGCTCCCCGCTCTGGCTCTGGTGAATTCTCTCACCCTCCCGTGCTTCTGACTGTACCCAGTGCTTGTATAAACAAAAACAAACAAACAAACAAACAAATAAATAAAAAACATGCCTCTATTAAAAAAAAAAAATAAAAAAATAAAACACAAGCTCAAAACAAATGAAATCACACTTTACCCTAGTCTACTCCTTGCTTGCTTTTTCATTAAAAATATATCTTGCTTGGATGCCATTCCAATACATTCCATGTATTGACATGTAGATTGATCACATTCTTTTTTAACAGCTACACAGTAATTTATCTCACCCTACTTGAAGAGCATTTAAGAAAAACAACAAGACAACCAAATTGTCCACCTATATTATCAATCAAACTCATTTTCAAATGTGGTACTCATTTTTTTCCCAGTTTCATTTTGTTTAGAGTACTTAACATATACAAACTTTTTTAACATAATCTACCAAAATGTTTTTCTTTATGGTTTAGAAAAGTCCCCTTACTCCCAAATTACACATTCTCTCATATTTTCTTTTAATGTTTTTAAGTTTACTTTTCACATGTACTCATTAACCCACACGGAGAGTGCATATGTATGTTTATTTTGTGATGAGTACATTTTTCCAAAAAGGACAGCCCATTGTTCTTATATTTCGGTAATTACCAGATTTCATAATTATCCAGAATTATCTGCCAATATTCTGGTTTTTGGTACCCAGATGAAATATGAAGCAACCACATTTACAAATAAATTCAAACAAAGGACTGCCCAAATAATAAATTTAAATGGAAATGATTTTTTAAGTTCTATTAACTTAAAACATATAATCTCAAATACAAAGAATATTTAAATACTTCTTATAGCTTACCAACTGATCTGTTATCCATTTTCCTTCCATAGCTTTTAATACTCTGTATAGAGAAAAGACATAGGAAATTAAGTTCTTAAACAGCAAAATTTTGTGAAATTCAAAAGTGTAAAATCAGTAACTTTTTAAAATAAGTTTTTAGGAGTGGTTAGAAATACTAAAGTGGTGGGCCTCCCCGGTGGCGCAGCGGTTGAGTGCTGGGTTGCAAAGCTGCCCGCAGCCTCTGCAGCGCCGGTTCGATCCCTGGCTGCTCCCTGGCCACTGGAGGAGGGTCCCACATGGCGCGCAGACCTCTCCTGCCGCCCGCTGCTCCCCTCAGCAGTGTACTTCGGTCCTTCTGCCTGCTCTGCTCCCCGCTCTGGCTCTGGTGAATTCTCTCACCCTCCTGCGCTTCTGACTGTACCCAGTGCTTGTATAAATAAATTAAATAAATAAATAAAAATAAATCTTTAAAAAAAAAAAAAAAAGAAATACTAAAGTGGAACTTAGGTATTTAAAAGTATCTCCCAAATTCCCAGTTCTCTGCAATTTTTCTCTCATTTGTACTTTTAATAATTCCCAGAGTCCTTCTATAAATGTTCATAATAAACCTCTCCAATAACCACAGCCTTTGTCTTCATTCATAATCAATAATTCCCCTTGATTACTATTCTTAGAGTTACAAGAGAATTCATGATCTAAAGTGCAATAATCAGTTTCCAAAGAGATGGTGCAAGCCAGCCCCTATAAAAACTTATCTATTAAAGTATTCTATGAAAAAAAAAGGTTCTGTGATTAAGTTAGAGAAATGACTCAAGTTAAATAAATCCAAACATACTTCTTTAATGCACGCTATCTCAGAAGATTTAATCTGCTAGTGAATGTGTTAATCAGACTTGAGATAATTTTGTAGAACAGAGATTGGGTCAGCTCAGGACACAGGTTCTATAGGACAATTCTTAAATCTTTACGACAATTCTTAAATCTAGAACAATTCATCAGGATGCTTGTTAATAACTCAGATTGTTGGGGCACCTCCAAGACCCAGTGATTCAGAATATCTAAGAACAGCATCTGAAGAGTCTGTATTTTTAACCATTACCTCAGCTAATGAGTTATGATGTAGATGATCTGCAGACCTCTGGTACAGAAGAAAGGTGAATGGAAGCAGAAATGTCCTATAGCAGCCACCATAGGAGTCATTAATTTGAGTCCAATATGACTACTGTCCTGGGTCAATATGTCACATATTAATCATCAGGGCCAGGAGTCTGATACACCCATCCAGTCACTGAGTGGCAATTGTATACAAGGTACCAAGTCTGATTCTGTTTTAGAAATTTGAGACTCCTCTTTTGCTTCTCCTAGATGTACTTCTCTTACATACTTTGAGACTGCATCTTATATTCAGCAATTTAACAATCCATATAGCTGCACATCACAGCACTGAACCAAACCATGTGGTGACTAGGTAACCTTCACATATTAAAAAGCAAAATAAAAACTCACTCTTTTTGAAATTCTTCTTGCTTGCTCTTAAGTTGGTTTAATCGCTCCTTCTTATCTTTAAACCTATAAGGAAAAAAATCAATGTTTCATTTAAACATGCTTTTTCAGTTCAATAAAATTTCACAAATTACTGAGAGCCAATAATGTCTTCAGACACATCTGGAAATACCACCATCCTCAGAGTAAGCACTACACATCTTCTCTACAGGATACACACAGCTGCTTACCAGTGGTTATTTAAAACTAACTTCAAATTCTCAGTTTAAATTTCATTCATGGGTTTACAAAACAGGTGTGTCAGAGTATTAAAGTTAATTTGAGTTCCAGGAAATTGAGGCTTCCATTATAAAAGATAATTTTCATTATTAAGCTTAATTGAATCCTTTGCTCACCAATAAACTGGCTCTTCATAGTTTTTAAAGTACAGAATTTTTTCTTACTATACATTTTATTGCTGGTTATCACAGGCCAACAAGTTACTTAGTAAAAGTTATTAAAAGGGAGGATAACACATGTAGTCCATTGTAAATTCTCCTTAATGTTGCTTCAGTTTACCCATAAAGTTCTTGATATGGTATATTTTCATTTCCAATTACCTTGAAATTTCTAATTTTCCACAAGAGTTCTTTGACCCATAAGCTATTTAGAAACACAGTTTAATTTTCTAGGTGACTTAATGATCTCAATGTGCACTTGAAGGAGTGTGTCCTACAACTGTTGGCTAGTGTTCTGTAAACATCACTAGCTGAAGGTGGCTAACAATGTCAGTCAAATCTTTTAGGTCTGTGCTGTTCAATATGCTAGCCACCAACACATGGCTACTGCTGTGTTCCTAAAATGTGGCTTGCTGTCAGCAAGGATTTGGGTGGAAAAAAAACTGTATGGCTAACATGGTGCAACTGATTTGAATTGCACCAGTAGCAAATCATTACATTATTTTCAAGCAAACACTGGTAACGGCACATGCTACTGTAATGTTATGGAGTCTAAGAACAGGCTTTTAGCTATCTCTTGAATTTCTAGCCTAAATGGAAAGAACAGAACCAAAATAGCCCGAAAAATGAGTTCCTTAAAATAATCCAGAGAAACCTCCCTAAAATAGTATTTCTGTAATTCCATTTTTGATACATACCAAAAGGCATGTACTACTAAATGGAAGATGTAAAATGGTAACTGAAAATATACATTATTAAGCAAAAAAGCAAATTAGGTAGTATCATATGTGACAGATTCATATACTTTTAATATACAATTAAATAAAAATTTAAATTTAAATTCCTCAGTTGTACTAACCACATTTCAACACACATCTGGGTAGCAGCTACCTTGCTGGGCAGGGGCACAAAGTGTCATTGCAGAAAGTTCTGTGGGTAGCACTGCAATGACCAGTAAGGTAGGAACTATCAGAAAACTCAGAACCCAAGGTGGAATGTAGACAGACTCATAGATTCATCAATTAATTTGTCAGATATTTACTTTTATGCCTACCACTTATAACAAAGCATTGTCCAGAATATTAAAAAATCTATATATCCTTCAGTCGACTGTGTATTCTTGGACATATTACTTGATGTATGCTTCCCTGTCTTTGTATAAAAAAATGAGAAACTAATGCGGTGTTTACTTCTGCCTCACTGAGGCAATGTGGTGATTCACGTTCCATTAACCTGAAGGAGCCGAAAAACTCACAAGGCTCATCAAACCATGCAAACAAAAATCTGACATAGAGGATAAAACCTTGCTTTTGGAGGCTACAGAAGTTATCCTTCCAGATGTGCTGTAAAAATGTCACTTTGTATTAAAACAAACTGGGATACAGCTCTGTCCAGCTTTATATTGAGTTGGTTGATTCTCTTGGGTTTTATTTAAAATTAAGCATAAATAAATAAACTGCAGATAGCAGGAATAATAAATAGAAGATAACAATTCCTACTTATCAAACATATTCACAAGAATGTTAGCCTTCGTGAAGGAAATGCAGAATAGGTGATAACAAAGCTAAACAGCAGGGCCTCCCCGGTGGCGCAGCGGTTGAGCGCTGGGTTGCGAAGCTGCGCGCGGCCTCTGCGGCGCCGGTTCGATCCCCGGCTGCTCCCCGGCCACCGGAGGAGGGTCCCACATGGCGCGCAGACCTCTCCTGCCGCCCGCTGCTCCCCTCAGCAGTGTACTTCGGTCCTTCTGCCTGCTCTGCTCCCCGCTCTGGCTCTGGTGAATTCTCTCACCCTCCCGCGCTTCTGACTGTACCCAGTGCATGTATAACAAAACAAACAAAGCCAGCAAAACAAATAAATAAAGCATGCCTCTATAAAAAAAAAAAAAAAAAAAAAAAAAAAAAAAGCTAAACAGCAGATGATTCAAGTAATGTGCTGGTCAGCATCTCAACTACTCATCAGTACACTCATCCACTCCCGGAATTCTCCATCCCACATTCAAGGAAATAAATAGATAAGAAATTCATTCCACAATCATCTACCTTCTCAGTATAGTTCTCTAGAAGTAGAGAAAGATGAACAGTCATCACATTCAAGCCAGATGTAATGATACATATTTTATCTTTTAAAAAACAGGTGGGCATCCTACTTTATGTGCTGTGTTTCAAGTTGGGTTTCACATAAAATATATTTTATCTTTTTCTATCTTCAGAACATACAGCTTTATCTCGTTCTTTAATAGGCACAGAGAATTACACTGAACAGACATCATAATTTATGTATATAAGTTCCTACTTATATCAATGAATATTACCACTGCTTACAAATTTTTACTACTATCAGCAATATTGTAAATGAAATCCTAGTGCACAACTCTTTACAAGTTTTTAAGTTTCTCCATGAGAAATTCTTACACAATATTTACATGCAAAATTCTGGCAGTTAGCTTTAAATTTTCTCTGAATCATTTCATTTAATTTATACCCGCACCAACAGTGAATAACAGAAACTGTCTTTTCACTCTGCCTAAATGTTGTCCATTTCTTTTTATGCTGTCTTTGCCACCTTCTTCAGTCTCCCACCTGCTTCTTCCCAGAGGTAGTTATAATTTATTTGCCTTCATTATCAGAAGCGTTAAAAGCCTTTTTCCTACCTTATTCACTATGCGCTTTGTCCATTTTTTATATTTTTCCTGAAAGGGTTACTGATAGGGAAATCAGCCATTTTTCTTTCATATATTTTTGAAATTTTTTTTTTCAATCTATTGTCTGCCTACTTACGTTTTTGCTGTATAGATCCTTCTAGGCTTTTATGCAGCTACCTTTGCCATCCTGTTGCTGTTATTGAACCTCCCTAGTCTATGTTGTTTACTGAAAATGTCTGTGACCTTGCACTGTGACCACGCTTTCACAATACTAGGTCTTGTATTTTCTCTTCCAATTTGAAAATAATAACCTTATCTACCAAATTCCCCCATACTCATATATGTTTTTTTCCCCTAAAAAAGTACCCCCTTAAAATGACTCAAACAGTCCTCCTGTGATGGAGATTGATGAGAACTAAGAGCGGGTGGTCACACGGTGACCCGCAAGGACAAGAACTCGCTCCCAACACGGCTTGGGCTTCAAGGGAGCTTCCTGGGAGTCATGCCTGTCTGGGCTGAGACTTGACGATACCTGAGGATCAGTTAGATTTGGCCCTTTTAAGGAAAGGAAGACATTATAGGCAGAGGAAATCTGTTGTTTCACAAGCCAAAAAAATTCACTTGCTTTGGGCAAATTCATTTCAACATGCCAAGTGGAATAACAGCAATGGAGTGTATGGCTAATGAAGCATGAAGTGTCAGATAAGAATGTGAGCCTCATTATTCCACAGTCCCATGACCACACACATTTGTGTCTACCAAACCACAGACTGGGCTAGTCACATACATTGGTTCCCACTACCAGAAAAACAGCACCAGGGCAGGTACTCTACGGGGCATCCATATTATTATTAATTCTGTGCTAGGTGATAACACCCCTGACTCACTGAACACTTACTCTGTCCCAGACACAGCACCTTTCATAAACAACTCTAATCGCTCTATTGCCTGCCCAGTCCCTTCCCTCAGGGTAGGGGTATAAATTTACTTTGTGTCCAGAGAAGAAAAGTGTAACACACTTTTCAACTTTTCAAATATGCAAATGAGGGCCTTAAAATTATTCACACCCTTTCAATCCAATATTGTAGTTCAAGGAAAAAAAGATCAGAGGAGGATTTGTATTTGATGGTGCCAATCATGAAATCAGTCATAATAGCAAAAACTGGAAACAACTTTAATGTCCAATAAGAGAATGAGTAATCAAATGACACTATGTTGCCATAAAGGACATTAAAATATTTTTATAGACAAAGACATGAATGTTTATGAAACAGCTGAAAAAAAGAAAAAAGGCAGAATAACCACCTATATACATAGTGTATAAACCCAAATAAAAAATAAAAAAACATGTTTACAAGCATAAAATGATATACAGAAACAAGGCTGAAAGGAGGAAATAGAAAAAAATGTTAACAAAGCTGTGAAAATATGGATAAAATTTGTTTCCTTCTTTAGGAATGAAACTACAAAAGTTTTCTGCAATGATCATATTTTATAAATGGAGGGAGAAAAGATACTATTCAATCCATTAAAATTTTTCACGCACTTGCTTTGAGGATTACATTTACTATTAAAAAATATATACAAATACATGTGTACATATATATGTAAAATCCCCTAAAGAATCTAACATTCTTAGGTCCCTTGAGGCAGATTATATTCTTTGGGCCCCTTAAACCTAAGGGAGAATGAGCACTAACAGTTTTAGGTCAGCGGCAGGGAATCTTTGATTTGGACAGGTTAAGGTGGAAGGGTTATGATCATTTCTGGCTCTAGAAATAAAACAGTGAGGTTTGTCAGGTAAGCAAGTGAGAGCAGAGATGTGCCTGGGGAAGAACGCTCAGCCATGTCCATTATTTAAGTAGAGATGGTTAAAGAACTAAAAACTTCTTGAGTTAGGATATTAACAAAGGAAAAATTACTAACCAATTTTTTCTCCCTTAAGTTCTTTAAGCATACAAGGAGTTGTTTATGAACAAATGCAGCATGAAAAAAAAAAAAAGGTCCTATCAGGCTGGCTCTTATTTAAGAATATTTAGGATGAGATAATACAGTAAAAGCACACTTTTATGCTTTTATTTTATTTATTTATTTTTTTTGTTTGTACATGCACTGGGTACAGTCAGAAGCGCGGGAGGGTGAGAGAATTCACCAGAGCCAGAGCGGGGAGCAGAGCAGGCAGAAGGACCGAAGCACACTGCTGAGGGGAGCAGCGGGCAGCAGGAGAGGTCTGCGCGCCATGTGGGACCCTCCTCCGGTGGCCGGGGAGCAGTCGGGGATCGAACCAGCGCCGCAGAGGCCACGGGAGGCTTCGCAACCCAGCGCTCAACCGCTGCGCCACTGGAGAGGCCCACACTTTTATGCTTTTAAAAGAGTTCTATTTTCTGAGATCCAGCTTTAGTGGTTAAACACAGTAGGTGGTATTGGGTGGGACCAAGACTCTACCTGAAGGGCATAATCAAACAGCAATGAAACTAATAAACTCTTGTCCAAAGATGGAGCTGCCTACCTGTAAAGCTTCTGTTCTGTGGAGTGGGGTATACAAATGCGACCCCAGAATTGAAATCTCAAGACAACGGATTTTTATAGGCTAAGTGGCTAACAACCAAAATGACATCAGAGAAGAACAGAAATAACTAAAGAGTAATTTTCTTTTTTTGTATTAGCATGCCTTCCCTTTGCAATCTTTGGTACTTTCTAAATTTTCTGCTTGTCTTTTTTACCTTACCTCTCAATTTGTTTAATGCCCATATTTCTGTCTACTGGTAAAAAGTAATCATATATTCCTAAAACTCTTATGTGAAGTTAATGCTGCAGCGCTTCAGAAAACCTACTTTAAAGAGTACTACCTACAAGCTCATAGAACTTATCTTTCTTTTTAATCCACACTTCAACTTGTTTTAAATCAGAAGGCAGACTTTCTGGGTGCTGCAGACTCTGGGTATCCTCAGATTGTGCTTCTTGTCCTATTCCTACACTTATCATAAACTGGTAAACAATTCCTTACAAGTTTAAATGGAAAGGTTACTTCAACATTGCAATTTCTATGGAGTAACAGTGCTATTTTTTGTATCAGATAAATGTGTAACCCAGAAGAGTATTTTCCTATTAAAAGAACTGTAATTTTACCATGTTCACTAGTACAGTATCCAAAGATGACTGTACTGGGAATATATCTTTATGTCATTCCTCTTCTTCATTTCATAAAGAAGCACACAAGCTAAAGGGCAGAGGAAAAAGCAGAGAAGAAAGTAAGTAACATTTTAGGCCTGGGGCCAAGGTGGGAGATGAGGAAAGGACAGCGTTGGTGAGGATACCAAGATGATAAGGAAGTCTTAGCACTGAACAACTAGTAAGTAATAAGTGTAGCTACTACACTCTAACAACCAAACTCATATTATCCACAAAATTACATAAAGACCAGTTCCAGTATTAGCAGTCAAAGGAATAATTATATTGCAAGATATAGTCTGTAAAAGAATAAATTATTCTTTATTTTCCTAGAACTGCTAAACCACTAAAGTCTATATATTCAGCTAGTCTATTAATGAAACCTGAAAAAATACACTGACATTTTCAATAACTTTGATATGCATTATCACATTCACGGCCCACACAGGCACAGTTAATCTGGCTAATTTACTGAAAAAAAAAAAAAAAAATCAAAGGTTTTTTTAAATGATGTTGTGAAACTAAGATCTGATGATTTGACTTAACATAAACAAAATTCATGCCTTCATAGAAATACATACTGGACACACATATCTTTCTCAAATAAATAACACTGCACATCATGCACAGTACCATGAAGAATTCAGTAATGCGAAGAAAATAATGGGGAAGCCATCTTAGTGAAAGCAAGGCCTCTCTAAAGGACATTTAAATTGAGACAGGAAAGACAAGGTGCCAAATTACTAACCAAAACACTTTTACTAACCAAAAGTGTTCCAGGAGGAGGGTAGAGAAAGGGAAATGGCCCTGTGGTAGGAAAGAAAGGATTTGAAAGGTCTCTTACTATGGAATAGTGACTATAATGGAGCAAGGCATGACTTTATTTTTTGAGTGCTTAAAATATACTAAATACCATGCTAAATACTCTTATATAATCACTACCTAAGGTATAGACACCCCCACCATTTTCAAAATGAAATAAACAAGCATAGGAAAGATTAAGAAACTTGTTCAAAAATCACATAGCAAGTGGTGGAGCTTGGATTCAATACAAAGCAGCATGAATTCAAAACTCACATTTAAACTCAAGCTTAGTAGCCATAGAGGTAAGCAATAACTAAATCACATGGAACTTCATATGTCTGGTGAGGAGCTTGACTTATTTTAAATGCATGAAAGTCACTCAAAGGATTAACCAAAACAGTGACATTACCTGATTTACATTTCTACTGTGGCTGCCAGAGGGTGCTGAGGTGAAGTTGGATGGATTAAAAAAAGGAAACAGACAAGTAAACAGAAGTAGATAGACTCAAGATTCATTTTGGAACAGGTCAAATGAGACATGCCAATGATTTGGATATCTCCAATAAGAAAAAAGGAAAAGACAACTCTCAGGTATCTGGCTTTAGCATCAAGTGGTTCATGATGGAAAATAATGGATAATAATGGAAAGTGTGGGAAGGTGTAGATTCACTCATTCAACAAATCCTTAGGCAGTTTCTACTATGTAAAGATACATCTATCTGAAAGAGGCTGCAAAGGCCCTGTGGCAGAAGTGTTTGATATGTTTAAGGACAGACATGGAGGCCAGTGAGTACAGCAGAGTAGGTAAGGAATGAAATAATAGCATATTAGAGAATGTAAGAGGCAATATACTGACAGAACTCTGATTAAGAACTTTGGCTTTTACTTTGAGTAAAATAGGAAACCTGTAGAAAATCTGAACAGAGGAATGGAGTGATGTTTCTCTGGCAACAATATGGAATTTACACTACAAAGGAGTATGTGTGGAAGCAGAGGCAATAACCCTGTGGTGGATGAAAGGTGATGAAAAGATGAGATTTGGGATAGGTTTTGAAGAGCAGATGGGATCTGTATAAGGGATTTGATATGGTGGAGTTAAGAAGTGGAAAAGGCAAGGCAAGTGGAAGGTGCTTTGGCCTTTACCAAAGGAAGATTGAGGATCGGGATGAGAATAGGGGTAACAGATTTATCGAGGAAAATCATGAGTTCAGTTTGTCATATTAAGATGGTGATTCTTATTACAAGTTTAAACACAAGTGTTGTGTACAAACTATTTGTGTGTGTGTGTGTGTGTGTGTGTGTTTCAGAGAAGTCTAGAATGGAGATCCAGGAGGCTTCAACATACAGATGGCATTTAAATCATGGAAATGGATCTAGGAAAAGGTACAGAGAACAGGGCCCAGAACAGATCTTTTGACAAATTCCATTGAACATTTCCATCTCATCCCTAGTACTCTTACTGTAAAACTGGTTTAATTTTTAAACCTATCACTCATTACAGCAACCATTTCTAGACATTAAGTGCATCAATGAGACACAGGAACTAAAGAGATCATATCTCACACATTTCAAAAGGTAAAAAAATGAACTCTATTCATGATCAGAGTAACACCAGGAACTCACACTACAACGATTACCTGAGTGAAAAAGGACTTACTGTGCAGGCTCCTCAACAGTAAATTGGGAGAAATAACTTACTGGCTTGTTGTAAATGAATTAATTATTGAACTTTTGTGATCAGAAAGTAAGTGATCTTACTATCACTGACACTAAATTCTTGAAACAAAAGTTGGGAGAGATTGCAACTAATCGTACTGATTTTTCAATGATATTAACCAAGGACTTGTAGCTCTGTTTAGATTTCAAAACAAGGTCAAAATGTGCTCCTAAATTCAATTCTGTTAACTAAGAGTTTGCAGCTCCCAGACTGGATTTTAAAACAAAGTCAAAACACATGCGCAAACTCCTCCGCATCCGAAACAATCTTTGGAGGCAGAGAGGGGGAAAGGGAACGACTAGCTAGTTCGAGTTCACACATTCGAGTAAGAGTGTCTGATAACAAGGTCCATCTGTAACACAGGCTTCCAGGGCCCGAATCCCTCTTAATCAGTTACAGTATCTGGTTCTCCTCTGGTCTCTTCTCTAGTGAATGAATGTGCCTCCGAAGATGGAAAAAGGTTAAACCAAGCTTTTGAATGAGAGTGTAGCAAAGAGCCGAGAATCCAACTGTATGGCAGCAACAGGGGAAGTCTTCTCCAGAGTCACCATCTATCCTTCTTTCGAGTATCCAGAAGCACCGAGGTGTCAGACTCCGCTCCCGTGGGTGGTGGGTAAACAGAGACCTTCCCTCACCTGCAACCCTCTCGGGCTGCGGCTCCCGCCCCCGCTCCCGCTCCCGTCCCCTGAGAGCAAGGCGCCGGCGCAAATCAACCACCTCCCTACCTCCCTCTCCTCTCGCCCGGCCCCAGCCCCAAGCTCTAGGCTGCGGACGCCGAGCCGGAGGAGACTCCCTGAGAAGAAACAGGGCTGTGACGGCCGCCGTACCTCTCACGATCGCGGCCGTCGAAGTAGACGAAATCGCCGCTCTGGACGCACTTGGCGCAGGTCAGCCGCCGGCGGGTGGTGTTGCACAGCGGGCATCGCTCGACCGCCACATACAGCCCCTCTGCGTCGTCCACCGAGTCCACCAGGTCCCGGGCGAGCGGCCGGGGCCCGCAGCCAGGAGCCTCCGGCGCCCGGACTCCCTTCCCACTGGGAGACGCCATGATGGCCTGCGAGCAGAGTCAGTCACGTGGGATTTTGTTTTCAACGAGGTGCATCCTGGGCGGGAGGTGGGGTCGGAGGAGGGGTCTGGCGAGGGCTTGGGGGCGGGGCCGGGAGGGGGTCCGCCCCTGGCCCGCGCCCCGCTCCCAGAACCCGAGAGGAGGGTGGGGGCGCTGTGGCCTGAGAGTCCGGGAGGGACAGCAGGTCTGGGAGCGGGGAGGCCTGTTAGAGGGCCAGTAGGCCAAGAAAATGTCATCTTGGGCTGGATCGTGCCAAGGCTACAGGTGAACGCCTCAGACTTGGGCAAGAACTAGTCATACGACGCCCTCAGGGCTGGGTGAAAACGGATTGGGAACAAAATAAAGGAATTCCTAGAATCGCTATGGATGCCTTTTAAATTTGCCTATCAGTATATAGTAAAATTGGGTGAGGGGTCTGGGTCTTGGAAAGATTGAATTTTGGCTTACCCACCTACTGAAAATAGCTGTAATTTAGGGCAAATGTGCCTGTTTTCTGTTATATGGAGGTAATTACTGTACCCACCTAAATAACGTCGTGAGGATTAATAAGCAAATGTGTTTCAGTGATCTAATATTTTACCAATAATAGTTAGCCAGTGCAAACAACCGTAATGGACGTGGACATCAAAGGCAGTTGTGAAAAGAGGATTTTAGTTAAAGTAATGGCCAACATTCCGCCCTTACTGTGGCCTTGAAGCTCTAAGAAAGAATTTGAAGTAGAATTTAAGCAAGACAGAATTACTCCAAGTTTCTTAGTGTGGAAGTAAAATAGGATGGATAAGAGGATAATCTCAGTAGTTAGTGTTTGAATAAGCCTAACTACAAAATGAAAAGAGAAAAGTGGGCGTATAGGGCATTATCTATCTAGACCAGTGGTTCTCAAGGAGGCGCCTAGCGGGCTGTCAATAATGACTGTCCGCAATTCTCACCCAAGTTCCATTCCCAAAGAGTCACAACTGCCTACTAGGCATGGAATGATGTCGGGTGGTCACCACAAATTCAGCATGTTGAAAACTGAACTCTGATACCCCGCAAACCTTGGGGGGTTTCCAGGTTTTTCAACCAAGATTTCCTTACCTTGGAGAAGGACTCAACAGCTGGGACCATGAGGCATATAAGCCCCGTTTCTCCCTGTTAACCTCCAGGGCTCCACGGAATGTGGATGATTCCACAACCTAATTGGGCCTTGAAGCTGAACTTTTTACTCCCTCTTAGTCTTCACTGGCCAATTTTAATACAATCACAATAAGATTATAAAATATACAAAAAGCAAAAACTCCTTATACTGTTTTCAAAATAGACTTTATACTAAATCTGAAAATTTAAGATTAAGTGATAGTTTTCTCTGATCATTTCAAACAAAAAAATGTTTAATTTTGCATAAGGTTTCAGACTATTATGTTTTAGTTATATTCTAACAGGATCCTTCACTGTGCCTATACGTTATCCCTAGGACCATCTCAGTTTTTTTTAAAAGCAAAATAATTGATCATTAATTTCTACTCCATTAGATATTACAGATATTATCTATTCTATATTTATTTGAAATTTCTATATATTGCTATATATTTTCAGAGAACACGTTAATGTACTTCATCTTTAACATCAGCAGAGCATTAAATTTTAATGCTACAATATCATTCTAGCAAGACTTTAAATTTCTCAAATTCTGAAATAAAATTACTAGTTCAGTTTTAACAGTAACAAGGTTATTTTGAAAAGCAATTTCATTTCCTAGGACTGGTTACTTAAATAATCAGCCCTTAATAAGCAAAGTAAAAAAAAAAATGTGCAGGGAACATCTACAGAGATAGAAAAACCCAGCTGTTTCTGTGCTAGTTTTATACACACATACTCAAAACAATATTCCATGAGCTGTTGATAGACTTAGGCTTTTTTAAAACCTCTTAGAATAGGATAGATGTTTTCGAATGCTTCATAAATCCCAGAACGTTCTTTGGCACCTATAAAGAAATCCAAGTTTATATAATCTTCAATATAAAATGATCACAAAATTTTCTTAAGACTACTATTTCATCGTTAACCCCCCAATTACTTTTAATGTGATGACATCTCTTTAGATGCAACTGAAGCATGGTGTTCTGGAAAAAGGCAAAAGAATTTGGTGATTACAGTCACATTCCCACACATAAACCCTAGAGCAGTTTTCTAGTACTTCCTTTGTGTGGGTGTAACAGCTCACCTCTAGCCTCACAGGGCACAGTAGGAAATAGGAGTGCTCTTCAGTGACCTTCAGCAGCACCTATGGGCACTTAGCTACTAGCAAAAGGAATTTCCTTTGATTTATTCATTTCTAGTTAACATTTTGATTCCCAAATGTGGAGTAACAGTGGGGCAAACTGGAGCTATTCTAAAGTTTTAAATTTCAGTGTATGAATGGGGATTATAGAGGGTAAAATTGCACCACTGTCATCCTTACAGTCTTAAGTTTCAAGGACCTTTAATTATCGCACAACTGCTCTAGGAGTTAAAGGGATAAAAACACGAGTTAGACATGGCTCCCACCCTCAAGAAATTTTATCAGCCATTGGCTCTCTATTCATCTCTCATCACCACCACTACTTCCATTTTCAAAGCTATGCAGGTACACTGTACTAAGGATTATGGACTGGTATGATTTATGGTTATATGGAGCTGTCAGCTAATCAGGAAACTTATGTATGTTGTTATGGTCAAAGCAAGGAGATTAATGAAAGGAACATAAAAACTGTTAGTATGAAGAGAAATGAATCATAGTTTAATTTGATAAAAGACTGTTCTTGAGAGCTATAAAGTTAGAGGAAGTTTCCGTAAGAGCAGGTATAACCTCTCAATGGTGGAGATCTTGGTGGTAGCAGCAAATATTCAGACAAGATTGGCAACATCCAGATTGGTATGGCCCTAGAGGGTAGTAACATATATTCAAATGAGAATTTTGAAGGCTGAAGTAGAAAAGGGTTCCATGTGAACAACAGTGGAACTGAGATGTGGATATCCGATTTAATTACTGGACTGAGAGGATATTACCAAAAAGAGTGCCAGATTTAAGAAGTAGGGAGAAATAAGGATTTAGAATCCAAGATGAGCTAAATTTATAAAAATGAAAAAGAGCAAACATTAACAAGGATATAGAGAAATTGGGACCCTCATACAATGCTGGTGAGAATGTAAAATGGTTCTACTAGTCACCAAAGACAAGAGTTTGTGGTTCCTCAAAAAAATTAAAATAAGAATTACCAAATAATCTAGTACCTCCTAGGTATATGCTCCCCAGCCCCAACTGAAAACAGGTACTCAAATTATATGTGTAGACATGTAAGCTCATTGGAGCACTATCCACAAGGGCCCGAAAGTGGAAACAATAAAAATGTCAATCAGGAGATAAATGGATAAACAAAGGGTAGTATATCAACGCAATGGATTCTTATTAGGCTATAAAAAGGCATTAAGTAGTGATACAGACTACAGTGAGGATGAAACTCAAAAACATTAAGTGAAAGAAGCCAGACACAAAAGGGCACATACTGTGTGATACCATTTATATGAAATATTCAGAAGAGGTAAATCCAGAGACAGAATGCAGATTGGTGGTTTCCAGAACAACTCGAAAGAAACTGCTTAATGATTTTATTTTGGAGTTACAGAAATTATTTTGGGACTAGATAGAGGTGTTGGTCATACAGCATTGTAAATGTTCTGAATGTTACTGAATCATTCTCTTTTAAATGCTTAAGTTTGTTATGCAAATTTCACCTCAATAAATTGAACATTTTTAAAAAAGAATGTAATAAGCTCAAATTTTGTTGAGAAGCAAGAGCAAAAAGTTAATTATTCACTGCCAAACAGTTTACTATCTCTGAATCTCCACTCTCGAAGATGAGGGATGGGGAGAAGGATAAATTACTGGCAAGGGTAAGAAAAACTCTCCCTTTTGGTAGGGAAAAAAAAACACCTTTGGTCTCAGATTTTAATCACAGGAAGAAAATTTTAGTATCTAAAGAAAATGATGACAACATTATTTGGGGAAAAAACTCTGCCTCTTGTCTCTGGTTTGATGGACTCTTCAGCTTCTGGATACATTTGAATGGAACAGCTTCCTTGATAGGAAAATAGTGGAGCATAATAGGTATAGTAAACATGCATACATGCATACACACATGCACACGCACACGCACACCCACACCCCAAACAAGACTCTTGACATTTGAAAAACAGAGTGTTTAGGTTCAGCATTTTTTAGTAGCATTTTTCTATGACCCTTAAAAAATAAAGCAGGGGCCTCCCTGGTGGTGCAAGGAGTTAAGACGCAACTTATGAAGCTGACTGTAGTCGCTGCAGCGCAAGTTTGATCCCCAGCCAGGGAGCTACCCATATGGCTCAGCAGACCTCTCCTGACTCGCCCTCTGCTCCCCTCAGCAGTGTATTTCAGTGAGTCTTGCCTGTTCTGTTCCCCACTCTGTCTCTGGTGAATCCTCTCACCCCCTCCACACACACCTCTGGCCTATACCCCAGTTCTTGTATGCACAAATAAATAAATCTTAAAAAAAAAAAATAAAGCATACCTAAAAGCCCAGAAAATATAGCCTACCTTCTGCATCCTCAAATATAGCCAACCGAGGACAGCTGCACCTACACTAAACAGACACTTTCCTTGTCAGTAGTCCCTAAGCAATATAGTACAGCAACTACTGGAATAGCATTGACATTGTGTATTCGAAATGATTTAAAGTGTACAGGAGGCTGTGCTTAAGTTACATACAAATACACCATTTTACATAAGGGACTTGAGTGTGTGAGGATTTGGTATCTGAGGGAGTCCTGCAAATCAATCCCCTGTGGATACCGAGGGTCAACTGTATAGCAGTATGATATCCTCTGGGCCTCAGAAAATACCATTCACCCAAGAGGGGATGAACAGTGAGGGTAATCATTTTATATTATAGAAACACAATGTTAGACACAAAAAGGCTCTGGGGAAATTCCCTGGTATAATTCAT